ATTTTTTCCCCCACCCCTACTGATGTCAAGGTCAGATGACATCTTATTACCTGCTATCATCACAGTGATTCGAGCACACAGACGCCTCACGTTTTGGCTCTGAAACCCATCAGTTTTAGTTTGTGTCTCACCTCAGCGATGTGGCTACCAGGAAGCTGAAACTGAAATTAATAGCACAGCAATGGTATCCAATATGGCTTGCATATGCACTGCAGTGTCGCGGACTATTAAAGAGAGGCCACGTTGATGTGTGTTGTATACAATGAAACGTGACAGACTGTAATCCCCCACCCCTCTCGTCTCCACTAACCCTATTCCATCACCATTTCTTGATCCTGCCCTCGTGTGTTCTGGTGTTTCTTTTTTCCACACTGGAATGATCTTGAATGTTGTGGGTTGGATAAGCACCCCAGGCTGGAGACTATACCATTGCCTTCATGTTTCATTACATTTAATACAGTTGGAAGTGAGGGTAAGGATGGGTCTTGTAATGGAAAAAAAAACACAACACTCTAGTTTTTTTTTACTGTCCATATACTGCTAGAACTATAGCCTGCTCCTGCATTATTTTTCCTTTTTGTTATACTCCTGCAGCTTCTTTCGCCTTTAGATATTACCTCATCCGTGCCTTTTACAGCCCTTTACTCTGAGTATGGGTAAAAAGAGAGAAAGGACAGAGAGCAGAAGGACAAAAGGTTTTCTTAGAAAGAAATACAATGCACAAATTTAGACTCCACCTTCTTTTCCCCCCAAAATGCTGATAAAGCACTTTAGCATGTGACAGGCTCCACTAAGCTGTCACACCTTGGCTTTTTTGTGCAGTAAAGACCTCTTAGAATATTTACAGCATGACATTGTGGGTGTCTTGTTGCGAGTATTCACTGATGTATCATTTATTACATAGTTCATTATTAACATGATGCAAAGGTGCTCGTCACTATAATTGCGTTCTACTCTCTGCTCAGGAGCTTGTTAGAATAACAACGTGTCATGAAAACCTGCAAAGGCAATTAGAGATGTACTGCAGCTCTGCATTCATCACAGGTGGGTTAAAAGGGAATTTAATTGTCTGGAGCAAGAGGTGTAAATGGAGAAAGATGAGAGAGAGAAATGGAACTTATAGGAAAGATGGACAGTTGAAAAGTTAATTAATAATTTTCCCACCACCGTAAAAGGGCCTAATCCTTCATAGTTTAACTTATGAACAAAATGATTCTTCTGCTGTCATTGATTCTACAAAATGATGTATGTGTACTCAGCATATTTAATCAAAGCACTGCAAAAAGGCCTAGACCAGCCTATTATTGTACTTCTACATTTTTAGGCCAAATTCTGTTAAAGTAGGAAACAGCTAAACCCTAATCCTCATTTCTGTAGTATATAATTGTACTGCAGGTTTTGTAGTCATTTCTTCTTTAAACCAGTTTTTTTATTTTTTAATCAGCTTTTGCTGGGTGTCACCTGTGCCTGAAATATCATAATGTAAAACCTGTTAGCACTTTTTCATAATCAGTTGGTGCGAACTTACAGAAGATAGTTGCTGTGCCTCATTCAGTGACCCAGTATAGGTAGTTTATTGTCCGTTTTGTCCACTTTCAGTCACCAGTGCCAAACCAGCAGCCCACAAACACAAAACAGAGAAGGAGTTGTTCTCATTTGTCAGAAAAGAAGGACCTCTAAACAGACTGCTGGTGTTTGCTGCTTCCTCTGTCCTTCAGCCGAAGCAGCTCTGCAAACTCTGAGTAGAGGACAGATTCAAGGTTTTACTACTGAACTTCATCTTGTTCTCATTCATCAAGACAATGATTGGAAAGCTCAGGTTTCCACCTGTGTTCAGCCTGTGAAAGGTAATGTTAGATCAAAGGGTTTCTTCTGGGAACTAGCTTAAATTTGTCTAATATGTAGAAGTTAAATGTGTCTTCCTGACAAAGGGCTAGCAGCTGCTAGCAAAGCATTGATTTGGTTAGAATCCACAAGTATTGTGGTCATTGAAAGTTTTGTCATTTTTGTTTGTTTTATTAGTAACATGATTCTGCCATCACATATGCCTAATTGAACATTTGATGTTTATTTCTTATCTTTCGTTTTTGTAATTTTATCTATTTTATATGTTTTTATTTAACATCATTTAATCATCAGATTATTGTTTAGTACACTAGCATGTTAACATCTTGGTAGCTAATGTTTCCATTGTTTTAAGTCTATTTTCTCACTAAAAACAAACAAATCACGTAGGGGCTAACATTTAAAAGCAGGTCAGATTACCATGGTAATTGAGAAGGACTTTACCAGATATACAAAAGGTCAGTAAAAGCACATCTTTATTGAAAATACATTCTACAAGTTGCTTAATTACAAACATGTCAAACATGAATAGAGTTTCCTTCCTGTAACAGTCATTCCCACCTCTGCCAATGACTAACTGTGACTGGTGCTGTGGGTATTTCCTTTGCCTCTGTCTTGTGTGTTTTCTTCAAAGCAGGCCTTCAGAAAATTGTTTGTGAAAGTTGTTGTTGTGTGTGTGTGTGTGTGTGCCAACAGCCCTATAAATGGATTAGGAGATGTTATTGGCCTAGTCATAAGTGTGTGGTAACAAACATGTGTGAGCCATCATGTGAAAAATCAAAGAAATGTGCACTGGCATGCTACAGTATTTACCACATGCTTCTTCTCTTCTTTCCCTTGGTCCATCTCTCGCCCCCTCCTATGCTCACATCTGAATGGCTCCCCTCTCACACGTTATTACATTAAGACATGGATTAAGAAAATTCCAGCAAGTCACTGGTCTTGTTTCTTATCTGACTGTGTTAACAGTGTTGCCCATCTTCTCTGCTTGTTCCTCAGTCTCACAGCACGATATGCAAGTCCTCCAGGCCACGGTGGAATAGGTTCACCACAGAAGAAAAACACCAGGTAATTATGGAAAAATAGATCTTTAAATGTCTTTATTTTATTTGTTAAGCTAATTAATATGTGCAATTTAGGGTTTTTTCAGGGAGGGCTTTGAAGAGCTGCTCTCTCCACAGTCAGGTCAGAGGTCAACAGGCAGAACACCTTATAAGAATTTTGTGTTTTGTTCTTGGGTTCTCAGGATGTAGCTGCAGTAGCTTTATGGTAGTTTGAGCGAATGTGTGACAGCGAAGAGCAGAATGTGCTAAATGTTCGTGTGCTTTTGCCATTATGTTCCCACATGAAATACAGACTCCTTAAACATTATGAGTCCATCACAAAAGGTGTGTACTCACTACATGGATACAGTATTTCTGTAAAGATGCTTGCTAGGAATGTGTTTCTAAATAAATATGAGTAAAACTGGACGCTACCTCCTGTTGGCAACCTCACAATCTCAGTCTCAGTGAGATTACTGTTTAAGTGGAGGATTCAGTTGTACCAGTGCACAGAACCTCATGCTTCGGAGCAGACGGTGCTTACCTCTGGGAGCCTGTGCTGCCTAAGAAATGTTTTTTGCGTATGTGTCCCTTAGCACTTTTAAACATCTTGACAAAGATGCTGAATAAATAACTACAGTGTTGCAAAGCACTTTGATATAGCTGCTAGGCAGGGAGCCTGTGTCCTGTGTGAGCTGGTAAACTTATAACAGCTCTAAACATGAGCGTTAAGGGTGAGAAATTCATTCCCAGATATGGGCAGACCAGAACAACAAAGATAAAAGGGATTTTTCACATACGTGTAAGACGTACACTTTAAAATGTAGCCACACGTGCTGCATGTACACAGCCTCCTTCAGCTGTCTGATGCTTGCAGCATTTGTTCCAACTCAGAAGCAGTGGGAACCAGCACGTTGGCAAATAATTCCTCTCCAGCCAGCACTGAGCAATGGCAAAAATGCTGCAGCCAGCAGTTTCAGCCCTATGGGTGATAATCTGCCCTCTCACATCACTGCTGCTGCCGCTCTGCAGAAATAGCTCTTTAATTCCCCACAAACAGATGAAGATACACATACGCACGCGCACACAAACAAATCACTTATATTAGTGAGCGGTGACAGTGCAGGCACTCTTCTCTTGCCATCTGATTTCCATTCAAGGCTGATTACCACAGTTAATTACTTTCTTGCCTTCTGAGAAGTTATTTTTAATCACCACGAGTTGCCTCCTCTGTTATCCCCGAAGCAAGAAAGTTTTAGCAATTCTAAAATAGAAATAAATTGTTGTGTGTCTTTCATGCTGCACTGTGCTGAATGTGGTGAGGAATGTTTCCCTCGAGGTACTAGGAGCTTTAGTGTGCTTCTTACTACCTCAGACATTTTGCTTGTGAGCTAGCACTCAAAGACCTATCCAGTTTACACCTGGCCTTTTCACTTGACACAGTCACATCCAGGCTCTTTGTTTCCCTTTTGTCAGTGGTGGAAACTGTGCTAAATATTTTTGTATTTTGTATATCAGCTAGACAGTGTTGAGCTCTTTGCTATAATCTGCCTTCTCTCATGTTGGAACAGTGAACGAAACATAAGCGCAGGTTATGTTTTGGCTTTCTGTGCATAATAAGTGGTGTCAACAAATAGCTATTCATGTGTTTCACATAATGGGTTGTGGATTTTTAATCTAGTTCCCTTTGATGTGGACATCTGACCTGAATTACAACAAAAGAGATTTACTTCCTGAATAAACTGCGCTAATACCTGACACTACCATGGGC